AAACTCAAAACTCAGTTTTCTTGATGTCCCTGAGGGGGACCACGGTATTCTGCTTAAAAATAAGTAAAAATGCAATATCTCGACACCAATAAGCTAGCGGCACGAACTTTTTTTAGGTTATTCATAGACCATTAGGGTCTACATGATGCTTATAGTATCGACTCAAAAGCGATGTGACACTTGGGAATGCTCCCTCGTTAGTCAACCATGAAAAACAAATATGTCTCAGGAAATTTTTCGTCTATTCGACTTTCTAGAAATATCTTTATTGATTGTTTTAATAAAAAGATTTTTTCGTTTGATAAATAAATCACGGTACTATGGTCAAAATATTAAACAACTTAAGACAGTTTTGTCCGGTAAAAGTATGATATTTTCAGAAATTTCACTGCATTCTCTTTCTTGATTTATCAAATAAAAAAATCTTTTTATCGAAATTATCAATCAAAACAACTACAAAGATAAATAAATAATAAATGTCCTGATATATATCTATCTTTCATAGTTCACTTAGCCTAATCTTCAATTCGTACATCTGAAGTTTTGGAACTTTCGGCAACTCTCTCGCTCATAATACTACTAAGTCTTGTTTCCGACAAGCTTGATTTTCTATAAAACTCAATATTAATATCGTTTGTATTTGGAATTTTCAGTCTTTTAAATATGACTTTAGTAAAATTTGATAGTGAATTTTGTTTAAATATTATTCTTAAATGTTGAAAAACAAATTTTAATCAATAGATAAAAACCTATTCTATAGTGTTTAGATGAAGTTCTATATCTACAAATAAAAATCTTACATCTTTATTATTTAATCAATAAATCGAAAAAATTTTTATTGAAATGATATATAGAATAACTTTGCTCAAGTAATTCTAGTCTCATACATTTCTATCCCACATAAATAACCGGAAAATTTAAGAGATAGTCTTTTAAGTTATTTCATAAATCTTAATACTTGATTAGTGGTGAAAATCTATCGGCTGAGTCATCACCACGACACTAAAATAGATATTTGAGTTTTTAAAAATTTCCGATATCCCAAATTACTTTGTTGAAAATGTTACCATTTTGATTTCTTCTCAATAAGTTCTCTATCTTCATTTTTTCTCTTTTTCATTTCAAAAATTCTCAAAATTACAATATTTTTGAAAAATATTAAAAGATTTCAGTTGCCACCGACGATCAATGCATTGGCTTCTACCTCTATACTTGACTTTCATATATCGATTATCAGAAAAAAATAAAAATTTCTTTCTTTTTGACTTAATTTTTTTGAATTCGAAATTTAATCAATAATAACTTACAATCTTTTCTAGTTATATCTTCTGACGTTGGTGTGTATACATTTTTATTCGTAACACTTAAACCAAAATCTTGATTACATAAACCTTGTCGACGTGTATCACCTGTTGTTTCAGTTATGATACTTGTTGTTGGTGGTGGTCGTCTTGAAATTGACTATAAAAAAGAAACATCATCAATTATATGTTATATGTATGTCAAAATCAATATTTATTATCTTACAGCTAATGATGATAAAGAAGTACCAAGATTAACAGCATTTTCACCATTTTCATTTGTATGAACCATTTCTTCAATATCTTTATGATCAAGTTTTGATTTAAACATTTTTTCATAATGTATTATAATTAATTCAACAATAGCATTACGAAATTTAATATCATATATTGATGAAACAGTTTCAACTTCAGGTCGAAGTAATGATGGACCAAAACAAACACCCAAATTAACAGGTGTCATTAAATTTTTTTCATGAAATTTTGATACTCTAAAAATATTTGAAATTTTTTTTCAATTACAAAAATGAAAAACAAAAATTTTTATTTACTTATTTAAATGTGCCATAAGAATATGTAAAAGTTCATAATTTGGTTTAGGTAATTCTTTTAATAAACTATGTAATGTTCGAATACGATCAGCTTTATCATCAATCACTAAGAATTAATTAAATAATTATATTGAAAAATAACAAAATAATAAAAAAAAGAAATCTTAAATTTTCATACTTGCTGCTTCAATAAATCGATTATGTAATTTAAATGTAAATACAGGTTCTTTTAATGTTCTTAAATAAAGTTTAAGTGCTGAACAAACTGTTTTTAATTCCATATCTTCATCAACAGGTGTTGATAATTTTTGTGCATTTGTTTTATGTGAATCTAAATAAAAAGACATGAGTCTTTATTTTTATTTGAAAATAAGAAAAGCTTTTTTTTTTGTACCAAAATGTTGTGCTACAACTGAATTTACTTTTGATTGCATACCAACAATACGATATAAACCTTGTTCATGTAAACCTCGACGTTCAATTATTCGAATACATTTTTTTATAAAATCTAGTCCAGTTTCATCTAATTCATCTATTTTAAAAAGAGTTTTTATATTAAAATGTTGTTCTTTTTTTTTTTTTAAATTTTAGTAACAAAAAAAAAACTTTACTTTGCATTTCAGTTTTTGATGATATTTGTGGTTTAGATACATTTATTTGTCCTCCCATAACTGATACCCATCCTTCCAGATCTTCTTCCGTCATTCCTTGAAACGTAAAGACAATCATTTTATCTGATGATGCACCTTTTTCAATAGCTTGTATATCAAACATAAAACGTTTATCAAGTTTTTCATCGGCGAGATGAATCTGACAATTACGTACAAATACATCATATGGACTTAACTAAAATAATAGAAAAAAAAACAAACAAATTGAATATGAGAAATCTTCGTAATATTTTGTTCTCTATTACTATTATATCAAGATCTTTTTTAAAATTTTACATTACTTCTGCCGGTTTTATTACATTTATAATGATGAACAAAAGTTTAGAGCAGTTGTATTTCTGAGTTTTCTATTCGGTGACAATAGTTAAGAAGAAGTTGTAAAAACCATTTGAATAGCTCAAAGAATTCTCTATTAAGATTGATGGAACTAAAAACTCCAATAAAACTGCTTGAGTGAAAATGTCTGGAGAAACAAAATCCTGCAACAGCCAGTTGTCTAACATCCATCTGAATATTTTTGGGAATGGTGTTATTCGATAGAGCAACATGACATGTCTTGTCTATCTTCATCAAAGTGCCTTTAATTAATAGGATATCTAAGAAGCATTTTTCTCTTGTCTAAATAAAAAATTTCAATGATTTTGTCGTAAATTGAGTGTAGTTCAATGAAAAGAGATGAGACATGTCATTTTGTTCTATCAAATGAACGAGAAACTTTGTGTTTTAAATATCCTCATACAAGGAATTTTATTGGAGTTTTTAGGTCCATCAATTCCAACAGAGTATGCTTGTAGCTACTCGAATATTTTTTCAGATTCTTTGTAGCTATTCCCGCCGAAAACAAAACTCAAAAAATACAGCTACTGTAACATTATGTCCATTACTATAATTTAATATTTCTCAATTTTACGAAAATTTTTTTTTCTTCAATATTTGTTTTTGTTTTGCACAACAAAAATTACATAAATAAACTTAATTCTAAAAAAATATTTTTATCAGGATAAAAACTAGTATTCGACAGAATTAATTCTAATATGATCATCTTTCGGACTATCACTTGTTGTCCACCTGATGCACCCCTAAGGACGTCAATTGATAAAATAAATATAACCCAAGAAATTGTTACTTGCTTATCGTGGACATACGAAGACTCTAGAGAATACCTGATTTTGAGGAGTACAAACAGAAAAACAGCTAGTTTGAACTATATTTATCAAGTGTTTTATTCTCTATAGTCGAAGTATTTCAAATCATGTATCATTATTCAATATTCACATATACTAGGAACTTCTTTACATAATAAGAACAACTGTACTTGATTGACTGATGTTATCAATGTACTGTACTAAGTGTTCCCAATGCATACCTAAAAGGGCATGGTTCGATTAAATGCCATGAATACATAATATAACGATGGATCTCACAGTGGTCCAAGCAAACCCCAGGTAGTCAACCAGCAATCACACGTATTTTTGGATGATCTACCCACATAAATAATAGTTGGTCGTAATTAGCGGATATTATCATCATACTCTATTAATTTTCACTAGAGCATATCTGGAATATTATCAGTTTCTTCTAATATTGTGTGCTTATAACAGTGTGATGAAACTAATTGGGGGTCCTCGTGAAACCCAAGTGATCGTGGCACGATTAATAAATATCTGTATTGTATGTCTAGATGAATTTCATTTCATAGAATATTTGTATGATTGTATTTTCTTACAATTAATTTTACTCACACCATACAAAATGCTAGAGAAAACCATTCTTTACTAAATAAGACGTCCCCAAACTCTCCACATCATTTTTTTCCAATGGTTATGAGAGTGCAGCTGATCGATCAGTCGTTACTATCGATAAATATTGAATACACAAATATTCTATTCATCATAGATTTTTCTAAAATCGCAATGGTAAAGGTAAAGGGTTAAAATTATTTGCGTTTTTAATTCTATTTCTTAAAAAAAAATATTTTAAATGAGAACATTTTGTCCGATATAGTTTTAAATCAAAAGAAACAAAAAAAATATTTCTCTCAAGTTATTTTTCACCTTTATCAAACATCAGAAAATGTCATTGTTTCGGTTGAATTCAACTCAATATTTTGACATTTTAATCAAGGTACTATTTTATGCATAAAAAAAAAAAAGAAAAGTTTTTTCTATCAACTAGAATTTTACCTGTTTTGTACTCGTTTGTGTAAAATTAATCATTCTCAATAGACTAATATCTTTTCTATATTGACAATAATATTTTGTTAAAGCTGTTGTACCAATAATTTTATCTAAAAACAATTTAATAAGACACAAAACAAAAAAATGTTGAAATATCATATTGTTTTTGTTTTTCTCATACTTCTTTCAACAAGAAATAAATAACCTTCACGATTATATTCTTGATTTCGAAGTAAATGATCTTCCGGTCGCTAGAAACAATAAAAAATTTATTAAGATATAAATTCTTTGATGCTATTTACCATTAACATTTTCCATTTTAAATCTTCACCTTCACGTTGAAAACAATCAAAATTTTCACGAAACTAAAAAAATAATTCATTTCTCAATTAATAAAACAAAAGGAAAAAAATATCTTTTTTTATTATTTCATACTTTTAATACACGATGATGTAAAAATTTTATAAAAAAATCAAATTCTTTATAAATTTCTTGACCTTAAAGAAAATTATATTCTAATTGATTTCAAATATTTACATTATTCTATATTACCTGCATGATAAAATGATAGAAAATTAAGCATTAAAGCCAAAAACTAAACAAAAAAAATATTTTTTTTTAAAAAAAAAAAAAAAAAAAAAAAAAATTCTTTTTAATTATTTACTGTTTCAACAAAATCAAATTTTTTCCTTTCTTGAACTTGTTGTAATAAAAAAACATAATCAAGTGTTTCTTCACGAAATTTTTTTGTTTGAACTAAAAGATTCGCATCAGCCTAAAAAAACAAGATAATTTCTATATTAGAATTTTTATTATAGTAAAATACTTACTTCTTGAAATAGATCTGATCGTTTTGTTGGTATTTTCATATTATTTTCTATTAAAGCACAATAACGTTGAGTTGTTTTATCAAATTCTTTCTTTTTATTCTAAAAAACAAAAAAAAATAAAACTTAGATTAAAACTAAAGAAAATGAAAATTTTTAATCAACAAACTTTTGCTTTTCCAATTGTTGTTTTTCGAAATTCATCTAATTTTTTTAAATATGTTTCCGATGAAGCACTCTATTAAAATAATTATAGAAATATTTTGTTTTCATAATTGAAAACTTACAAGTGCATCTCTTGCTTCTTCAATTCGATGTAATACTTCACCCATATATGAGAGAGATGATTCTAATTAAAAATTTTTAAAAAATTAATTTTTGTTTTTAAATATTTCATTGAAATAACAAACCTATATCTCGTTCTTCATCTGTTTGTTTACTTCCAACAACAAAAAATTTAAAACTTTTTAATGTTTCAGCAACACTTCTTGATGCTTTTGATAAAGCTATTTGAAAGAGAAAAAAAAAATACAAAACTTAATGTTATAATTACAAATCCTTGTGTTTTTTTTTTTGTCATTTACTTTTATTAGCAACCATAACTTCGTTTAATTTTTTAATTAATGTTTTTATTGCATTTGATGTATTTTCAAGTTCATTTTCATGTTGTCGTAATTTTTCACGAAATTCTGGTGAATCAGTAAGTGCTTCTGTAAATTCAAGTGGAGGTAATTTAAGTACCATAATTGTGTATTATTTTATGTAGATATTTGTTTCTGACAAGAAAATCTTTAAATAAATACAGAGAAAATACAGGATGATAATAATAAAACAAAACAAAAAAAAAAAAAAAAAGAAAGAGTTACTAATATGATCGTTATGTTCTTTTTCTCACGTTTCTCTATGCATATTGACATACCGCAAGAAAAATCGTTGTGTAGGCTGCGCACATTCACTGTCGATAGACCAGAGGGTTAGCAACAAGTTGAAAGGAAAGAGGAGGAATTGCTGTCTCTTCTTCTTCTTTCCTATTTGGCCCATCCAATTCGTCTTTGTCTCGTAACAACTACTGCTTATATTTACGTTATAACACAGACCCCGTTTAGCTCGTCTGCCCGTTTACAAAACGAGAAGAGAACAAATGGCACAGTGATGTTTGTGTGTGCGTGTAGCAATTATGGACAATAAGTCGTTTGTTACCATTCTATGATGATCATGCCTTTCTCTTGGCCTGTTTTAACCCATAAATATAAACACACTAGCATCATTGCATACCAAGCTGTGAGTTTCAGATGGCATCGCATCTTAGTTATGCTTATGTTAGTCTTACTTTAATCGACATATCATGTTGATTCGGCACACACACATCCGTAATGATTATTAGACGATGCTAGTATTAGCAAAAGGAAGAGAGAGGGAAAGAGAGAGAGAGAGAAAGCGAGAGAGAGAGAGAAACTTTTACTTCTAGTGTTGTTGCTATTGCTGCTGACGTCAAATATGACCTCGAAGTGCGAATTGGACGCGCACGATCTGTCTGCTGTTTACATCTTTGATAGCAAGGTCATCTAGACTATAAAACAAATTCTTGCAACGAGCATCAATTGAGACCTACATAAATACGCTGTGCGCTTTTTTTTTTTCTCGATAAATTTGTTTTTGCCAATAACATATAGTATAGTGTTATATGTAGTTAGTCGAACTGTTTGCTTATCTTGACCACACATTAAGTTACAATGTACACATACAAATAGAAAATCTGAACTTCTCGTCTTTACATTTCTATCTAAACACTACATCTGTTGAGAAATAAACAATAATGACGACTAACTTTGATAACTATAGTTTGGCAATTCATCTAAAATAATGTTACTTAAAACAAGAGAATCTACGAAAAGTGATGATGGAAATGGACACAATGCATTTTTTGTCTTTGTTTATATACATACATACACATATGTATGTATGCATATGTTATCATAACGAATGAAACTGGCGACAGGAAATCGTCACTCATCTGCTTGTCATAGACACATAATAAAAAAAAAACTAAGATGATAAAATAATGTGTATTTTATGTTAAAAAAAAGGAAAACATCAAATTAATCACATATACTTTTAAATAAGTTAATTTAATAAGGATACATATGATTTTGATTAGTTTGTCATTTGATAAATAGATAAGAAAAGAAAAAGAAAAAGAACTAAGTTACAATCAATGATATTTGACAAAAACTATTGTTAGTTTTATCAAATGAAATTCTATTACTAATTCAATGATAAGAATATAAAATTGTGAATCTTCTGTATTTTTAAAAGAATAAAATGATAACAAAAAATCATTACTTGTCGCGTAGGAAGGAACAAAATCAACTCTTGGTTAAAGATTGATGAATCATCTATACTACAGTTAACTACTATGCAGAGAATATCATCTACCAATCATATTTATTGTTATATTATTTAAAAATTTTCTTTAAAAATTTTATAAAATTAATAATTATTTCGAATAAAAATCATTATAAAAATTTACTTAATAAATATTTATTACTTATAATCTGAATGTTCATTAAAATACTTAAGTTTGATTGGAGGATCAATAAACATCACTTTACCTTGCTTACTTTTCATTTATAAACATATACAATTCTTATATTCATTTTATTTAAAAAACTAAATATTTCTATCACACAAACCATTGAAATTTTTTTTTTAAATCTTTCTAGAGACAAAATAAAACTTGGTCATGTCAACTCCTTCAGCTAAAGCTGTACCATCAGGTGGTAAATCTAAAACAACAACGACTGTTGTGAAAACGACAAATACAAAAACACAACAACCACAACAGAAATCGGTTAGCACACTTGTTGTTAAATCAAAACCAAAAAAAATTAAAACAACAGCTACCGGTAAAAAAGTAGTTAATTCACATTCAAATCGATTATTAAATAACAATGGTCTTATGCGATTTGCACGTGGTCGAATGTTTCATCGACGTGCATTATATCGTATTAAAAAATGGAAAGATGATCAAGCGAAATTAAAAGGTGATAAAACAAAAAAAACAGCCGGTAGTATTCAAAAGAAAAAACAACGATTACCAGCACTTAAAAAGAAACCAGTTGGTGGTGAACGAAATGGCAAAGAACGTCTTGTACGAACAAAACGATTTGTAAGTATATTTAGTTTTTTTTTTGATAAACATTTTGTTTTTGTTATCTAATTAATTGATTATTCTAGCCGCGTTTTTATCCAACTGAAGAACGACCAAAAAAATTTTCTGTTAAACGAAAAAAATTCAGTGATCATCCACGTCGTTTTCGATCATCACTTACACCTGGTACCGTTGTTATTCTTGTTGCTGGTAAAAATGCAGGAAAAGTAAGACATTGAATTTCTTTTCTTAGGACTTTTTCTAATTACTATTCGTTTTTCTTTTCTTTGTAGCGTGTTGTTGTTGTTAAACACTTATCATCTGGACTTTTGTTAGTCACTGGTAAAGAACTTCTTTTTTTTTTTGTTGTTGTTCATATTTTGAAAGGAAATTTTGGTTTGTTTTATATAATTAGGTCCATATAAATTGAATGGTGTATCATTACGTCGCGTTAATCAAATATATGTTATTGCAACAAGTACAAAACTTGATTTATCAGCCAATAAATTTGATGAACTGGATGATAAATTTTTTAAACGTGTTCGTCCAGCTAAAAAAAATGCTGAAAAAGACATCTTCGATTCAAAGAAAGAGGTAAAATTAACTGTTGAAGTTCAAAAGAAAATTCTAGTGTTTATTATTCTCATAAATTTTTTATCTCAATAATGTATCGAATCAACCTTCATAGTTACAACCATTCAATTAAACTTTATATCCAAAAATACGGTTAAATACTACTATATAAGAGAATATCTGTTAAGTGATCGTTGTGAATATCTCAGCAAAATATTGAAATTCTTGAATAGATAAAGACAAAGTTTAGAAGGAATCACTATTCTTATTCTTTCACTGAATAAAATCCTGAAAGAATAATCCATAAATCGTAAGACTTTTTTTACTGAGGTTTTTACTAACAGATAGCTTTGAAAAATATGATTTGGTTCTCACAGGGCAAATATTCGAATGAAGACACTATTTGATTATATGTTTAAAAGTTAGGGTGTCCTAAAGTCATTAAGATTGGATAGAGATCAATCTGTGTTGTGGAGATTGGTGAGCAGAAAAACGAAGAAAATCGTTCATGTTCGCTTGGGACAAAAGAAAATTTTTCAAGATTGTAAGACAAAACTAGCGTTCGGCGGTTCTAACAATTACTTGAAACTGAGACGGTGGCTTCACTTTCGGTTACTAAAAATAAGAAAAATACAATTTCGGTTCGCTTTCCAAAATTTCTTGTGGATTCGACATCGTTAAATCAATAAATAAATACGAAAATTTTTTAATTTATTTTGAGAAATTTTCACCCTTGAATTGTTGAGATTAAAGACGCTACAAATTTTAAATACTTAAAACAATATTATATATATATACTGAATTTTTTAATCTTAAGAATGAAAAAAAAATTGATGTTTTTTACAGTTTCTGTTCGAGGTTTCAGTATGTTTTTGAAACAATAGAACTCTACTTGAGATGTTTCTATTTAACGCGTACTGTCAAATTGAAAGACATGAAGATTATATAAGCATAGCTTGAAACTAATATGATCTATTTTGATAACTGCATATGAAATCTATCTACACTAAAATAATATCGTTTCTTTCAATTGTTCAGTTTTTTTTTTTTTTGGATACTTTTAAACTATGACCAGTATAAATATAATCTTTTCTACTTTGAATGAATGAAATCCTTTTCTGGTTATTTTCATTGTAAACATAAAAAAAGAATGTTTTTTTGAAACTAATGAACTTTACTTAAAATTTATGAGGGAAGATTTTTTTTGTAAATATAAAAGGTCGATATTTTTTTAATAATCAAATCAATTCAAATTTCGAGTTCTTTCAATTAAAATAACTGTTTTTCTTTTTTTTCTTTTCTATTTCTTAGAAACCAAAACTCAGTGAAGAACGTAACCAAGCACAACTTTCGGTTGATAAAGTAGTTCTTAATACTATTAAAACTCATGCCGATTCACGTCTCCTTCGTCGTTATCTTAAAAGTCGTTTTCAACTTTGGAATGGTGTTTTACCACATAAGATGAAATTTTAAAGACAAAAACAAAAACAAGATTATTAACAATTGAATATCACGAGCAACAAATCCAACAATTATGATATAACAACCATTATTATGTTGCCGTTTTTTGTTGTTTTTTGTTTCGATTTCATAGAGAAATTTTTTTTTCGTTTTTCTATCCGTAAAACAATATGAAAAGAAAGAACAGAAAATAAAAAAAGAATCACAAACGGAAAAAAAAAAGCCACTTAATTGACAAACTCTACAAGTATTATCATTTTATTAACTCAATCTCTCTTGAACTAGGGTTTTTTTTTTTCTTATTCGCTAACGATTAGTCAAAAACAACAGTCGACATACTTCATTCATCTAATGGAACAAACACTTACAATTATGCATTCCTATTCACTCCCATCTCCCTCCCTGCCTTTCTTCTTTTTTTTCTTTGTGACATAGACAAACTTAAAAAAAAAATCTTACTATAAAATACAAGGTGAGAAAAATTAATATAAGTCTAACTGTACAAATCGAAACAGATTTTAATCATGAATGACATACATCAATCAATACTTTCAACAAAAATGCTTACAATGCGACAACGTTTACCATTTCGTGAAGTACCATCATTTCATATGATTAAATTAGAACGTGGTCTTATTCAACGTTCACTTCTCTATTGTTTTGAAAAAGGTTATTTTTCATTAATTCGTTATTTACTTCAATCAGGTTCAGCAGATGCACGTGAACGTGATAATGAAGGTCGCAATGGTCTTATGTACTGTTGCTTTATTGATAATGATTGTTGGGCACAAAATATTGCTATGGTTTTACTTGAATATGGTGCGAAAGTAGAAGATCAAGATCAACGTAAACTTAATGCTTTACATTATGCTATTGTAACACAACGATCAATTTTAGTTCGACGTTATCTTGCTTCACTTGATTTTGATCTTAGTCGAACAACAGATATTTATGGTAATACATGTTTACATTATGCATGTTCAACTGGTAATGCTGATATTACTCGTTCTATTCTTGATGCTATGAAACGTTATTCAATTGATTTAAACATCAAAAATCGTCACGAATCAACAGCATATGACATTGCTTGTGCATTAAAACATGAACGTTGTCAGAATTTATTACGTAATGAAATAACACTTCATGAACGTAATAATCAAATACCAACAAATAAAAATGTATCACATATAGCTCTTAAATCATTATTTGAAAGACGTTCATCAATACCGATTCGAGTACGTTCAATAACAACAACAACACAGCATACTGAATCAATTGCATCCGTACCAATATATGCTTTAAGTTCAAAAATTTTTCGTAATCATTGTCCAACTACATTAAATTGTAATAGTGAAAATGTTGTTCATTCATCAACAATATTTGTTGATCCAATTGAATCACGTCGTATAACACTTAAACGTAACGAAAGTCTTGATTTATCACTTTCTAATCAAGCTAAACATCGAGCTGATTTTGTTGCATCACCATTTATAAGTCAAAGTACTATTTTTAGTTCATCATCATCAACATGGCGTGATGATTTTTCAAAAATGTTCAATGAATTACAAACATTTAAAACACCATCATATAGAAAAACTATTCATCCACCATTAAGTACTGAATTACCAAGTGAACTATTCGATAATTCATCTGAGATGGGTGGTACAGATGTATATGATGGTAGTCATCATCAATCATCATCACCTTTTCGAACTGGTTTATCACAGAAAGTTATTCATCGACGACAAAGTAGCGCGTCTAGTGGTTCAGTACAGCATAAAACGAAAAAGTAAATTTCAATGAATGAATTCGTATTGTTTTGTGTGATGAATTAATTGATAAATGAATATTTTCATAAGAGAATATTAATTGAATCAACAGAACTTATTTGAATAAGTACCAATGAATGGCTATTTTTTTTTATTATCATAAATATAATTTTTATTTTTTTAAATTTATTTTCTATTGAAAGGAAAAGAAAAAAAATTGAGAAAAAATGGGCAAATGTTACGTAGCATTATTAATTCAAAATATTTTTTTTCCATAGAATAAGTCTTGATGTTCAACATCAGTTTAGCGAACGGCGATTATACGATTTTTACTAGAGAACAGGATATATGTAGGTTTGTAGAAGAAAACTTCCTCTATTCTCAACGGTGTATATATTATCCAATTTTGTAACACATTGTGGGAGAGAATTGAATTGAAAAGCTATGGATTTCGTATTTTTTTTTAAAGATATCCTCCTATACCAAAAATATAATCCAATGGAGTCTATATTGTTCGATAGTTCACCCTATCTACTTGCATAATCTATAACACTTTTCTTCAGATTTGAGTTATATTGTGATGAATAAAAATTTGAAAAAAACTCTATGTAAATATTTTCCATAATGCTACTTGAAATAGTATTTATAGTTTCATGTTTGCCAATCTGAAATATATTTCACATATGCAGAATAGTCAAGATTTCTTTGCTCTTATGAAATAACCGACGAAGATTCAACAAATGAATTGTTTACATATTGGAGAGAAATCAGGAAACAATATTATTCAAAAAACATACTAATGAAAACCAATCTACTGATGAAAAAAGGCTGAAAACTGTTAAGTATTAACATTCACTAATTGTATCTACTGATTTTTTAGATTTTCCTAATGTTCCAGAATCTTTTTTTGTTAAACCTTCTGTGTGTGTTATCATCAAATTCTTTATATTATTTCTTCCAGAAATCGCAGATGGAAAAGCTGTAACACATAGCAGCGATAGATAACATACGCAATTTTTTGTATTATAATGTATGAGTAAAGTACTGATAAATATAATCTCACGGGAGTAATATACTTATCATTTTTTTAAGAGTAAACAAATCTCTGCAGTTCTGTTTATGTGAAATATATTTCAGATTGCCAAACATGACACTATAAATACTATTTCAAGTAGCATTGTAAAAAATAAGTAGATTTTCTTTTTCCAAGCATTTATAAGTCATATCAGAACTCGTCTATTCAAGAAAAGTTATATAGTTTATACAAATGGATAGTGTAAACTATCGAATAATATAGACACTATTGGATTATATTCAAGTACAGAATGATCTCCTTAAAAAATTCGAATCCATAGCTTTTTTGATTCAATTTTCTTTCACAATATGCAAAAAAATTCGATAGTATATTGACTGTTGGATAAAAGAAACTTTCATCTACAAACCTACACATATCCTGTTGTCTGATAAAAAGCCGACATGTAATTAAGAATGCACCAGCTGCTAGTACATGATGTTAATGATAGCATTTTTTTTCCATATTATAATTGTAGTTCCTGTGGATTGTTTGTATAAATCATGATCAATTGTTTTTTGCTCTATCCCAAGTTGTAGTTGAAACACATGAAATAGAAAACAAACGTTTCTCAATCGATCAATTATTCATATATTTATTTGTTTTTTTTTTTGGTGGATTTCAACTAATTTTTTAGCTCAGCTCTCGAAATCCCTTGAAATTAATTGAAAAAAAAAAAGTAAAAAATGTGAGTTTTTGACAAATTTCGGAATCTTTTTATTCTATTTCATGTGTTTTAACTAGCGCGCTTCATATAGAACAAAAACAAGTGATCATGGTTAATATAAACAATTCATAGAAAGTACATTCTTAATATGGAAAAAATGTCATCTTTGACATAAAGTTCTAAGAATTGGTGCATTCCTATGTGTAATTTATCAATCATGCTTTATGAGAAACTGCAAGAAATATAATTACTATGATAAAACTTAGAACGCATTCTGTATGAAATATTTGATGATGAAATTTGTAGAGAAAAACAAACTAGTTAAACTTTTTGGAGAAATTCTTTAGATCTGATTTTGATGTATAGATTGTTTTTTTTTCTAGTTCAAGGACTTATTAAAAACATTTGATTCTCATAAAATATAATTGCTTTCTTTTAATTTCAACACATCAATCGAGATAATTAATGATATCAAACATGATTTTATTTATTAATTGAAAAATTATTAATTCTTTTTTTCAAAAATGAAATTCATCAGTCGGTCGTAATAGAGTGATAATTGATAATGAACGAAAAATAAATATATACAAAATTGGATCAATAAGAAATGCAACTATTTGTATATAATATATTACAGATTTTATTGTTCTTCCATGTTCTGTTGGTATATGTATGCATATTAAAAGTAGAATATTAATAAATGACCAGATGAGAATGATATATGAAGCATATTGAAAGTCATTTTTTCGTTGAACCATATTCAATTTTTGTTTACGTTGTTCGATTTTACATGTTGAAAAATATTTTAATATTCGATGCTTTATAGATTTCATTTGTTGATTATGTGATATTATTAATAATATATATGGTATTATACAAGTAAAGGATAAAACAAAAAATGTATACGATAAATGAAATCTATAATTAACAATACATATATTTAATGTTTGATCAAATATAATTGATGCCCATTCATCACTTATACTTGGCCATGTAAATATACATGAACCAATGAAAATACATAGGAAAAATGTTAATAAACGACAATTTGTTATGGTTTGCCAATATTTACTAAATATAAAGCAATAATGCCATAAAAGACGTATACCAATGGTTAAATTTATATGAAATAATGTTAAAACATGAAGAGAAAAACTTTGTATAATACATAAATTTGTTGAATATTGAATAATATTGGGATGAAATTTTGGAGTTAAATATATACCCAAACGTAACCAATTAGTTAGTAATAAACATGTACATAAAAGAAGACCAAATGAACGAACTGTTCGATTTAATATTGTTTCAGATTCAAGAATAATATCTGATGATAATGATAACGAAGATAGTGATTTAGAAGAGATTTTATTAGTCACAAAAGATTTCAATGCATCCGTTTCTACAACATTTGAAGAAATTTGCTGTATATCTAATGACGGTGAATTTACTACAGTAAAAAAAAAAAAAGAAAAAGAAAGGATAAATACATTTAAATCAGAATTTTAATTCATTTTTGCCCTGTTCTTTGAAAGTAGAAGAGAATAATATTACGTATTTTTGACAGATATTGAAGTTTAGTCTCAAAGTATAGCATTATTCAATGATGAAGAATTTAGTACTCAAAAATTTATCATCCTATGTATTTGATCATGTATCATAAATAGAGAGACTTTCCATGGAGAAAGAAAAACACTAAACTTTGAAAATATGTAAAAATTCATATATTCAAATTTTGCATCGAATAAAAGTTGACTTAATCTAAACTTCTTAAGAGAGGGTCCATGAGGGCATCGAGTATGCAAGGCACTCGATAAAATTTTTTTTTTCGATTTTTTTTGCTCATTTGAAACTTCAATGTCTAAAACTACTAACCCTAAAATTTCAGGTTCTAATACCCTTTCTATGGAAAGTTAGTCAATGCCGACTTTTAGCACTATCACACCTTTTTGGAAAAAAAAGAGAAAAAATATTCTATAAAAGATGTACCAGCTTACATTTCAACAGCTTGTCGAAAATTTTCNAATTTTTTTCGCAAACTCCGAGTGCAAATTTTTTTTGATAAAATTCCATCATTTGGACTCAACATCACCCTCTATGAGTTTCATTTGGGTCCCATGCTCAAAAGTCAAGATTCAGCATACTAAAAAATCCTGGATACGTCACTGCTTGGATATTGTTTTTTTACAGTTTAATCATATATTCATTAAAGTTTTCAGATAAAATTTAGCAAAACCACGCTAACTTAATCTTGCATTAGAACCACATTTGACTAAGATTTTGTAAAACTGGTACAGTCGAAAATTGATGGTTGTAGAGCAATTACTGCAGAAAAAGTTAAGGATGTTTGCGAGAATGAACCAGTATCAAATATTCGATCTATTTCACAAACTTGTTCATTGCCATAAACAACAATCTACTTATTAAAGCTATACAAAGTACAATTTATTTAACGATTCAACGAAGACGGGTTACATAGACCGAAAACTTTATGTCGGCTCATTTTTACAAGTATCATTATTTCTTTAGTAATTACTCTACAATCATCAATTTTCGACAGTACTAATTTCACAAAATCACTGGAATATGTTGATAATACAATGTTTAATGAGCGTATGTTTTTTCAAATTCAATTTATAATTACCGTTTTACAATTCTATTTGGTTCGAATTTTACCATGAGTAAAACTATTTTAATTCTGACTTCTTTAAATCTAGATATTTTATCTGAAATACGTTGAAGTAAAATCTTTGATGATTATGGTATCAAAATGACATAAAGTGCTTAAATCACTCTATTTGCTAAGAAGTTATTTACTTTTTTTCTCTCTTCGTTTGGACTTCGGGAAAAAGAATGTCAATAGCTCTTGAAAAATGTAAGCTATGGGCATAAGCCTTCTATCATTTTATTCGGTCCTCCTTTATGTGTTTGCTGTTCAAAATTGAACTTGCAAGTCTACCGTTTTTAAGTATTTTGAAGAATTTCCATTGAAATTATTGCATTTTTTTTCTCTTATTAATTCAACTTGATCTTTGATAAGTATCTTCCAGACATTGTCTTTCATGTATTATTGTATGTGAAGTTCATCGAAAAGAACCATCTCTTTGAATTCGCATGTTAGGGGAAATGTTGTCTAGATGCACTGATGTGCTTTATTGTCGAAATGGGATAGATGTGGATGTAAACTCAATAATTCGACACGCAGAATAATTAAAGAGCAGTAGTTAGTTTTAAGAAATCTACAGAAGAGAACTTCGCATGTCTTTTTGTCTGATACTATAAAAGACAAAATTTATTAAAAACCTATAGTTTTTTCAAAATAATAAAAAAAATACATGAAAACGATGTTTCATTTCAAGAAAATATCGATAAAAGATCAAAGACTTTGGTAAAAATGAAAGGAATTGATTGAATAGACACACAATTTCGTTTTCTCAACTTTGATATGCAAGAATATAATCATTTGAAATCGTTCTCTATCAAAATTACATGTCAAACTCAAAATTACATTGAATAGAACAATATTTTGATGAAAATTTTCTGAACTTCTTTCAAAGATGATGGATTTTAAAATAATTTTGTTTGATATAGTATCAGACAACAAGGCATCCGGGCTTCTCTTCTTTCGATTACAGAAAATCACAGGTCGTCAACTGTTTCCGTTGTCGAATCGTCAAGGTTACGATCACCCTTCTTTAATTCTGGCACACTCATTAATAACATGAACTACATCAACTTTTTCTTCTGTCATCCCTGCAGAACGTTCTGAATGTCATTGATCTGTACAAATATCAGTTTCTTAAAAGCGTTTAGAAGTCTCTTTATTCATCATTTCTATGTCAAATTCGTCTGTCACGGTCTCGTTTTACAATTGTAGATGATTTCAATTCCATCATCAATAAAACTATTTCACTAAGAATTCTTACACATCACTTAAATTTTTCAAGAGCTATTCATGTTTTTTTTTATTCTGATGGGCTTTTCGATCATCCTGTATTATATATATATTTCTCTAGGTGGTGATGATTTAAAACAACTTGCTGAAGCACAAAATGATGATTTTCAAGAAATTATTACTCTTGTTGGAATGGTATCAAAACCATTACATATTAAACGATTTAAAAAAGCTTTAGCTGATTATCGACAATCAATGAATAATATTGATAATGAACATACATTTATAAATAATTCATATTCAACTGTTCCTTCTCATCGCATATCAACAGATGAAACATTATCTGATCGAAATAAATTTTCTTCTCTTATTCATTCAACATCAACAAATAATTCACCAAACCTTATCAATCAAATTTCTTCTAATTGGTGTCTAAATGTTAGTTTTTTCCGTAATTTTAAAAATAGACTTAATTGAAATAAATAAATTTATTATTAATTTAGAAAATAGATCATTCTAAAAATAATAATATTCATCAATTACTTGATGATAATCAACGTAAAATGATTGCAGATGAAGCAGAACGATTAGCTAATTTATTACCAGTAACAACAATTAAAAAACTGAATGGACGAAATAATATATCAAAGGATTTATTTGTATGTGTTGTTTTTTTTTAGTTTAAAGATATATCGATATTTATCTATTGGTATTGATAGGCTACAATGAATTTACCAAGAGATTTTGAAGATCGTTGGCAACGTATTCGAAAATATTCAGCTATCTGTAATGAATTCGTATCATTAAAAGAGATTTGCTAAAAACTATATTTTTGTTTTAGATAATCGATTTGATTCCAAAACACCCAATCAAGTGTTAAGCTTGCATGAAGTAAAAATAGAAAATATTATTAATTTTATTTTAAAAATAAAATTTAGATTCTCATGAATGAAGCTGCAGCTGCTATTTGTTTTCATAGACCAGGTTTTAAATTATATTTTCATCGTTAAATAAATTCTTCTCTAAATTTATAAATTAAGAATTTTTAACTCGTCGTGATGAACTTTTACATTTTGCTCGTCGTATTCTTCAAAATATTGGAATTTTAACTACAAGTATTCAAAAACGGTATTACAATCATTTTTCTTCTTCTAATAAAAAAAATGATTTTTACTCTTAATAGACCATTGACTATGTTAACATGTGATATAACACCAGCAAAACAAATAAAATTAAATATACCTATAACAAAATCTCATGTTCGACAACGAGATCCTGATGCTTTTCGATTAATGTGGCATAATCGAGAAGTAGATTTATTTAATTATTTTATAATGTCAATTAATTCTTTTATTTTTGTCTAAAGGCAAAAGTTGAACAAATTCCTATTCAAGTCGAAGCACTTCAATGTGAACAAAATAAATTATTACAACAACTTAAACAAATTACAATTGATTCATCATCATCATCTATAGATAGTAATGGACTTAGAAAACAAATTGATGATTTAAGTAGACAAATCGAACAACTTAATGATGAAGAAAAAAATTTACGACGATTAATTCGTAAAAAAAATATGCGGTAATATAACAAAAATCTATATGATTAATTTTTTTTTTCAGTAAGAAAAATATTCTTTATGTTTCTCTTTTTGTTTATTAGTCTTCGAGCAAAAGAACGTCAACAACAAAAACAAAAAATGCTTGTTAATCATTCATCAAATGTTCAAGATTTGATTTTACCTATAGTACCAATCACACCATCGCCATCATCATTACCAATTGATATCAATCATGATCAACAAACATCATCATTATCAACACAAACATTTGAAAATAACAATGATATGTATCATTCGATAAATATCAAAAATGAAAAAATTGAACCATCTGTTAATCTTTCTTCTCCTGTTTTAAAAACAAGAAAAGAATTTTCAAGAACAACACTTAATCCTAAATCAATTGATAAACGACGTGAAGAAGTCAATGAAAGATTAATTACATTTAACAAGAAAACAATTATTCCTAAAAGTAGATCATCTCGTTCAACACAAAGAAAACAATCATCATCAACAACAGCTATTGAACTAGTACTCGATTCAGGTTTTCATTCTCAAAAATCAACAAACATTCTGCCAACATGTCATAATGAACAAGATATTGTCGAAAGCAAAAGTTTTATCCATACTATTGATTTTAATATTAATACTTAAATAAGAATGAATAAATAAATTAGATAGAACATTTTATGCTCGAAATTTTATCTAGTAGAATAGTTTTTATTTGAAAAAAAGTGAAATTTTTTAAAATTGTTCTTAAAGAAAAATAAGAATTAAGATGCGTCTTCATCAAGTAGCTAAATGTTTTAATAACTGGTCGAATAGCAATTAGTTGAAATGTAGAATTGATCATATTTTCTATAAAAGCATGACTCTTTTTTAACGTATCACAAATTTCAATTTCAACACATGTAATTTAATCGTATACAGCACAGCGTAATAGATGAGGACATGTGAAAAATGAAGATGTACTCCATCGAATGAGTAAATAGAGGTTCTCGTCGGCGAACAGTATCTGAATGTCGACATTCACTTTTTTTGATTGATCAAAATGATTAAAAAAGAAAAGCCTAAAAACAATATGCATGTTTAAAATCACGAAGATTTCAATAGGTGAAAGCTTCAGATTAAATAAAAACTTATGGATTAGGATAGATTTCTAAACAACAACTATTTGCTTTCGTGTAACGACTCTATTTGTCTTAGACCCTATAAACCAGGCTAACCTATACTCATCTCAGACGAATAGAGAGTTATTTTAATGACGGTCGAATGCAGTTTTTCATAGTTTATTCTTGGAAGTTTCGGTGCCAAACTGTTCAAAAAAAATTTCATTCCGTTTGTTACCAAAAAGGATGTGTTCTAACTGCATTTTTTCGTTTTTATCTATCACATTTGAAATGAATGACCTATAATTTATTAACGACTTCATATGAATGGAAGTGTTTAATTAGAAAACTAGGCCAAGAAATTTGTTTACAAGAAATCATTTTTTTACAGCTTAAAATGATGTTTCACACTCGATGTACCTAGTGAAATAATTTCTGTGATAGAAATATTTATTTAGTTTGATTCAAATAACATCATTGAAAAAGATTTCAAAAACAAGAAGAAACATTTGGTTAATTGTTTTGTGAAACATTTTTTTTCAGAACTCGACAATATCTACATATGATTTAAAACGAAAGGTTTCAACTAGAAATGACATTTTAACTTTACTTTGAAGTTAGAGTGATCGTACTTTAAAATTTACCTTTAAAAAAATCAAAGTTAAAGTAGAGTTTTTATCACTAAAAAAGACATTTTTAAGAAAACAGCTATATTTCATAAAGTTTGACCAAAGTCTTTCAGAATAGAAGTAACTTAATTCAGAAATCAAGTACTAAGTTTCGGAAAACCAATTAAAGATTCTGATTCCAAGATCCCGAATGTCTTTGGTCAAACTTTATAAAGATTCGTTTTTTTTTGTATGATAGCTTTGCTATGAATCAAGAATCAACTGCAAGAATTTCCGGCCACTAAGTAATAGGCAAAATGACTATTTGTGTAACGGTAACTTTCCATTTGTAATTGATTCGAATTCCAATTGGGTCAAGATTGGAATTATTATATCTTTAGTAACAGCCACCGTAGTACGTCTAGATCATTGCATCCCTATTCTAGATACAGCTATTGAATCTTTCAATGAATGTAATGCAAGTTTTTATCATAATAATAAAGTTTTCTGGCAAATATTTTCGACATTACTTTTAAGTACAACGATGACCGACAAGTCTTTTTCTATATTGAAAATGATCAAAAAACTATTCACGTTCTACTATATCCGAAAATAGATTAAACGGTTTAGCATTCATGTACGTATATCGGGTGTCTCAAAAGTCATGATCACTTAATAAATGCATATAACTCCACTACTAATCAAGCTTAATTCAAACCTTTCTTTTTTATTTGAAAGAGGAGACTAGTAAATTTTTATTCTTAAAGACCAAATTCAACAACACTTTAGAAAAGATAGGATTTGTGGTTAGAATACAAAAGTTAGGCTTTTTTCGATGTCGAAAGCAATATGATGAGTTTTTCTTCGATATCTATTCGAATTTCAATCCTTATTACCGTCTTTAGATCATTTGAATCTATCTTTGTGAGCTTCGAAACACTCATTCTGATATAATCTTGAGATAAGAAAACAACCGAGTCACTTCTAATAACAAGATGACTTATGAAATGGTCTAACATACTCGTTTTCATGCTTACAATAATTTTCAAAGAATTGCAAACGATCTGCTTTGAAGAAATTACACCAATTATTTGATCGTTTTCTAACATGTCAAGAAATGATTGTAAAACAATAATGAAAGATCTAAAGACGGTAATAAGGATTGAAATTCGAATAGATATCAAATAAAAACTCATCATATTGCTTTCGGCATCGAAAAAAGCCTAACTTCTGTATTCTAGCCACAAGTGCTACCTTTTCTACAATGTTGTTGAGTTTGATCTTTAAGAATAAAAACTGACTAGTCTCTTCTTTCAAATAACAAGAAAGCTTTGGATTAAGCCTGATTAGTGGTGGAATTAAGTGATCATGACTTTTGAAACACTGGGTATATAAAAGAGAAAGCTTCATCAAGCATTCTATACGGAAGTAAGGTACCTCTGACACTACTTTGGGATTGCCCTAAGTATTATCAAGGTGATTCTGTATCGACATGCACATTTCTGGTATTTCGTAATATGCATACTCTCCATAGAGAAATTCAGTTTTTTTCTCTTTGATGTGCATTTATTTATTTTTCATTAAAATGAAATGTTTGTCATATATTCACATTATATTGGCTCAAAAACCTTGTTCAATTTTTCGAATCCACCTATAGTTGTTAGTATTTATGTTCGCGTATATGTAGTACTTATCAGATGATCATTACATTCTTCAGTTTTGATTGCACCTCTAATGTAAGCAGACAGTCGAATGTTGAAGAAATTCGTCTTATACAGCAAAGTATACATGTTCAAATCTTATCTCTGGAAGAAAAACTCTTATACACTCATGTATGTTTACTTCATGTGCCTCGTTTTTTTAACTATTCTAAGATTGTCTTTCATGTACACGCGTCGGCTATCTACAAAAGCATTCATATGTTCTTGCATGCAGCGACAATATTAAGCGTGTTTATGGACAAATATTCATGCATATAAACTCAAATATAGTCTACACCGTCGTGTGCTCCCACGCATGTTCTGTCATAACCATTCATGCATGTAAATACATTTTGTAAGGTTTCGCATTTAATCAGGTATTGATAGGAAAGTGTTGGTGAGTTCTGCAAACTTTTATGTCATAGTGCTTCGTGTTTTATAAGAAAATGAATGAAGAGAAAAGAGTATTTTATTTGAAACACTAACTCGTTTATCAATATGCACGATCAAAAGTATTTATTACGTTGGTCAACTGAGGTTAATCAGCGATAAGATATTATATGAATATATCATCAATTACATATTTCTGTAAACTGCACCTAATAGGTATCTTATTTTATTATTTTACAATGAATAAATCAGTCAGCTGTTTTGTTAAACAACTAGTGCTATATTTTCGTTCTTTCAAAATTCAACCTAAAGATGTCATAAGTAGTTGATATGTTAATTCTAGAAAAAAAGAACATATATTTATTGTGGTTCCTGCTTTCTCGTCGTCAGTCAATTGTTTACCAGCCTGCTTGAAACGTGGCCTAAATAAAAGACGTTGATGTCATCTAGTCACTTTGATTTGTTCTACATGCATTTTGTAATTGTACACAAATGAAAATTGAATAGAATAAAATGGCTCTGATTGATATTGATGCGTGAAAACACCAATCAAGTTGCTTAATTCACTGTTAAATTTTCTAGTAGAGAGAAGGTCATAGCAAAAATTCATTTTTCTTTTTTTTTTGTGTTTTTAGAACATTTTTAATCATGTCGACAAAAGCTATCTATGAAGTAACGGGTAAACAACTTTTAAATAAGTATCTTAATTCAACAGCAGCTGAATGTCGTTGTGTTAACATCGATGCAAATACGAACTGGAATGAGCTTATAGATAAAAATCGTTGGTTAGAAAATGAGGTCTTTAATTCGAACTTAATATTTATTTATTAATTTTAAAAATTTTCATTTTCTAGCGTTTAGTCGTTAAACCTGATCAATTAATAAAACGACGTGGTAAACTTGGTCTTATTAAAGGCGATGTTAATCTTCAAGGAGCTAAAGATTTTATAGTAGAAACACTTGGCAAAGAAATTTCGGTTCGAAACTCATTGAGAAATAAAATATTTATAACCTAAAATTGTTTTTTTTTGTTCTAAGATTGGTCATATAACAGGAAAATTAAAACATTTTATTATTGAACCTTATCTTGAACATAATAAAGGCGATGAAATGTATATTTGTATTTATTCAAATCGTGAGGGTGAAATAATACTTTTTCATCATGAAGGTGGTATTGATGTTGGTGATGTTGATTCAAAAGCATTAAAATATTCAATTATTATTGATGATTCATTCAATGTAAACAAAATGGAAGAAGCTTTATTAAAAAATGTACCTGTTGACCGACGATCGTACGTAAAAAAAAATCCTAATATCATTTTTAAAAATTAAATCTTTAATTTAATAATAATTTAGGCATTTATCAACATTTATTACAAAATTATTTCAAGTTTATATGGAATTACATTTTACTTATTTAGAAATTAATCCATTAGTTGTTACAACAAAATCTATTCATATACTTGATTTAGCTACCCGTCTTGATCAAACAGCTGAATATTTATGTGCTTCAAAATGGGGTAAAATTGAATTTCCACCACCATTTGGTCGCGATGCGTATCCAGAAGTAAATAAAAATTTATCATTAATTTAATTTAGAAATTTTCTTTTCTTTTTAAATTATAGGAAGCTTATATTGCTGAACTTGATGCTAAATCTGGAGCATCATTAAAATTAACTGTTCTTAATCCAAAAGGTCGTGTATGGACAATGGTAGCTGGTGGTGGTGCATCAGTTATTTATAGGTTTGTAATTTATTATAATTAATGATTGATGATATTGATTATTTTAATATATAGTGACACTATTTGCGATATGGGTTTTGCATCTGAATTAGCTAATTATGG